AGACTCTCTCTTTAGATTTTTTTTAAGAGATGTGTCGTTAACTAAAGATACCTCAACTAACCTAATCACTTTTTTCTACTTAGCGACGCAAAAGTTGGCACTTCTCACACTAATTAAAAGGCATGTGTGACATCTTGTAATAAATTTTTTTAAAAAAAAAGCATGTGTGACATCTGGGCCCAAAAGAGTTGAGCCATTAAAGAATAGCACAACCAATAAGGTGCAGTAGGAATCTACTGGATCAGGGCATGGGAAAGCATCACTTTGTCTTCAAGATGGGCACTGACTTCTAAAAATATATAATTCACAATCAGAAATTGACATTATTGTCATAGATTTTAAAGAACTATATATGCATATTAAAAAAATGCCTTTAAAATGTAGTGCACACAAGGCAACAAAATAAGATGCCAACTAGAAATATGCAAGTAGATGGCAAAACATCATAACAAACATGGAGGATTAAATTAGGCAAGATCTTTGGGATAAGCCCAATTCATTATCTATACTTAGCTTCAAATCTAAACAAACTTAAAGTCGACACATGAGGCTCTATCTTTTAACTATTGTTAATTCAACAGCTAATTAATTTGATTCAACATTCTACAACTCGAGTAGGGTATTGCACATTTCAAAAACCCAAAATAGAAAAAAGGTCCAATGGCCAAAGCATTCAGGACCCTTTTCTGTTTAGAATACCCCCTTTTCTGTTCAAAATAGCCCATTTACAAGAAAATTCTTGCAGATGGGGCTACCTCAGCTGATATTGTATTCTATTTTTGCTCATTGATACTTTACCTTTGCTTTGCCTGTGGAAGAGAAATCTAGATGTTAAGAAGAACAGCTCGTTTCCCAAAATAATGAACCACAGCTAGCATTTGCTTATTGTCATGTATGAACACACACTAAAAAAACACATCAAAAATACCTTACTTCCAAAGCTTCCAATCTTCTTTAACCTTTACCATCACTTTTAAACCCATCCCACCATTATTTTCATAATTTAGTCTCCTCATCTTTCTCCTTTTTGCACTTTTTGGACGGCTGTCTATCACTTTTGTCATCCAAATACAATCATTCCAACCTAGATTCCTTAACCATGTCCTCCTTCTTGCTCTCTGTATTTATAAATCTCCAACCACATCTGTGTTTATATATAACTCATCATCAAGTTGGTTTTTCTCCAAGAAAAAGAAAAACCAAGCTTGAGTTTTGACTACTGAGCCCACCAATGGCTGCTACTAGCTATGCATACACAAGCCATAGCTCATCTCAAAGATCAACAGCCGTGGTGCTGGCTCTAGTATCTGCAATTGTACTTTCACCATTATATGTGACAAGCAGAAAAACTGATGCAAGATATTATGAGACAAAATGGAGCTCTGGGTTTGTCCTTCCCATGGTTCTTGCCGGACTTATCATTGCCATTAAAACCACTTCTTCATCAAGTTCATCATCTTCATCAACTCAAGGAGATTCTTTTGTTCCTTCTCCTGAACCTTCATGGGTGCTAAGAATTGGGAGCTCAAGCTGGGGGCTTGCTGGGGTTTTAGTATTGCTGATGCTTGTGCTTTCATGGCAAGGTTCTGTTCATGAATTCTTGTGGAGATAGAGAGAAAAAAATTAACTCCAATTCTATCTGTTGTTTTCACTTTAATGGATTGTACTGAAAAGTTATATTATATCAAATAATGCAATTGGTATTAGTTAATGGAGATTTTTCTGCTTCATTCAAAATGTGGGTATTGCAATTCTCTGTGAAAAAAGTGCACAAACTGAATAATTAGCTGCAGTTACACTTCTAATACTTTTAGCTCAATAAACTTGTACCTCAACGATGTCTTCAGTTTTTCCTTCTCCACTAATACAAGAAATTTTTATATGTTCCGTGTACACCATCTTCAATACCGCTTTTAATATCGTTTTTATACATAATTAAAAATATATATTAATAAAACCCAAAACCATGCAAAGATCAAATTGCTGTTAACTGTGCACACCAGAAATTGTTGTGAACTGTAAGACATGTAGCTCCAAAATAAATATATATTTATAAAATATTTATATAAAAAAAAAATTAGTTGGGCCTCTTTCCAACTTGATTGGAGGAAATGCTAAGCCCAATAAGTATTAACAGTCTTCCGTTGTCCCCAATTACCCAAACTCTCTCTCTCTCTCTCTCTCTCTCCATTTCCTCTTTCTTCTCCCGCGCACCCATCGGCAAAGCCCTAGTTTCAGTTTTATTCACTCATCACTGCTGTGTGTCTCAAGCAAATCCCAAGTCACAGAAGCCTCGACATCTCTAATTGGACGGCATACAAAATCAGGTGAGCTCCCTACTTTCGTTCCCTGCTGATTTCCTCTCTCTCCATTTTGAAATTCTTTTTTTGGTAAATTTTATTTTGGATTTAGTACTTAGGAGTTCCGCTGAAGAAAATTGACATAAAATCCAGTACACCGATAGATAAATTCTGTTTTTTTACCGGGCAGAATGGTTTTCGAGTTCTGGAAATAATCATACGATATAGGTTTGAAAACTCTCTCTTGTTCGATGGACACAATTGTAATATAAAATTCAACCTTTCTGTGTGCAAATTTGTGGAGGTACTGATGTGAAAATTTCCAATAAGCAGGGAAGATTGATTTGCGCTGCGAACCAAAATTTGGTGCTTTTTTTTTAATGGAACCCTTTTTGTATAAAATTGACTCTGGTTGTGTTTCCTTTTCATTTTGGGTGCTACAATTTTTAACTTGCAGTGGTAGCAGCCTCTTTCATTGTTCTATTTTCTGTACACTGCTTATTTGCCAAAGTTTTGTATATTCATCAATTACTGCCTCAAATCAGTGTTAGTTTTCTGTTCTAATTGTGTTATTTTGCTCCTCGAAATACGTATTTCTGATACTGCTCTATGTCCAGGCTATTCTTGCTACAGTTTCTATTGAGTAACAGAGCTGTGTAACTTGCTGATTGTCCAGATTGTTGAAAGAAAAAGAAATGTAGTAGTTTAGAGGTTTAGCCCATCCCAGCTGCTCTGGCCCTGCCTCCCTGCCCAGCAAAGGACCCAGAACCAGAAAATGGCAGGGGAAGATGAGGACTTGCCCAGAGATGCAAAGATTGTGAAAACACTGTTAAAATCAATGGGTGTGGAGGAATATGAGCCTTGTGTTGTTCACCAATTCTTGGAGCTGTGGTATTGATACGTGGTTGATGTGCTCACTGATGCACAGGTCTACTCAGAACATGCTGGTAAGCCCGCAATTGATTGTGACGATGTCAAGCTTGCTATTCAGTCCAAGGTTAATTTCAGCTTCTCACAGCCCCCTCCAAGAGAGGTAATATATTTCACTTCCTTCCATTTCTTCTGCTAAATTTGAGTTCATATAACAAAATTGTATAACACTATGCGTCAAAAAAATGTACCTTTTCATTATGAAATCAATCAGCTTATGTGTGTTATTCGGCCATTATGGTACAAATTTTGAAATTGTTAAGCAAACCCATCATCAGGTGCTACTGGAGTTGGCTAGAAACAGGAACAAAATCCCATTACCAAAACCAATTGCAGGGCCTGGTGTGGCATTGCTGCCTGAACAGGACACATTGATCAGCCCAAACTATCAACTGGCAATCCCAAAGAAACAATCTGCTCAAGCAGTGGAAGAAATGGAGGAAGATGAGGAACCTGCTTAACCCAATCCGCCCCAGGAACAGAAGCCCTCTGATCTGCCTCAGGGTACTCCCCAAAGGGTATCCTTTCCCCTTGCTAAAGGCACCAAGTGAGAGATTACATGGTACATCAATCAGCCTATGGGATTATAGTCCAGAGATGTGAGATGAAACAGTTGTTCACTTACTAGAGATTCTGACTCGTATTGGATCTGTGTACTTGTAAAAGAATGTTCTGTTTAAATATTATGCTGTTTACTTCTGCAGTCTTGTTCTTTCACAATTATTTGAATGCTTACGCCATACGTTATTCATACTATTTTGAATGATTAATTGATTATGTGAAGAGAGAATGAAGCTTTTGTTTTCCCCCCTTTCTACAAGTCAGGCTCAGGAAAGCTTATAAATGAACATCATGAAAGATTTTGTATGTTTTCTCCATGAGTTTCGGTCATCCGACAAAATACAGCAACCGAGTTTAAGCATAATGGAACCAATAAGATATACTTGGGTTTCGAAGCCCAAAAGGCTCCACATGTGTCTCAGCCCATTGCACAAGGCGATAAAGACTCCGAGCGCTCGGAGGTTACCTACGTCGTTGGATCATTGTAATGGCCACGATGAAGCTAAATGCAGGTAAATGCGTGGACTCTAAATGCAGAGGCTCGAGATCCATCTTTGTCACCCCAAATTATTAGCGTTTCCTTCACACAAACGTACCCTCATTTAGACCTGAGTAAGAATAGGAAGGTTTGAATCTGCTTTTTTGGCCACCAAGTGTTGGAGTAGCTCCAATTTCTCCTTTCTGTTTTCCTTATTATCCTAAAAGTGTCCACAAATTTATCCTAATAAACTAAAAATTATTATAACACACACTTTCAACATATTACGTGTACGTCTACCATGATTTTCTTAAAGCATATATAAATTCTCACATACATTAATGATTAACAATACTGAAGGGTTCGAATCCAGTATTTTGGCCACCAACTGCTCTAGTTACTCCAATTTCTCCTTTATCTGTTCCTCTTCTTCTTCTTTAATTTAAGCGGTTGTTGCTTCCACACACTTTCCATCTATTTGTTGAAATTCATCACTGATCATTGTACTAATGTCCCTTGTCCACCACTCAGTCATTGACACAAAAATTAGGGTTAAACAAAATCAAAGGAGGCACAGCTCTACTCTTGGAAGACATAAAAGAGAAAGGATAAAAGAAGTTGAAATGGATTTCATTGGTCAAAATGTTTTCCAGGCTTCAACTTTAACCAACAGGACTTTCAATGTCTATTTTGAATAAGAAATTACTGGAAAGCAATACTAAGTCACAAAATTCATAGCTCAAAAAGAAAACTCTCACAATTGGAAACACATAAATACACAACTGAACCGCATTGAACTGAGAATCTGTGGGTTCATTTGATTTTTTTTTCTGGGAGGAAGAAGTGATCCGCCACACTTTCCCTTCGAGTCCCTTTGCGTCCTTTCCCTGGCGCCTTGTTTCTTCTTCTTCTCTTTGGTGTTCACTATTCCAGCAATCTATGAGTCACAAAATAATCAAACATATTGAAACAATTTAAAGAAAGACAAACACATGGAGAAAGGAAGGAAGCAAGCAAGCAAGAAACTTACGGCGTGAAGCTGAAATTGACATGAACATGCCAACCACCATGGATGTACACATCACGAATAGTTGAATGCAAGATCTCAATGTTGCTACTTCCTCCACTTCCAACAATGATTCGGAACGTGGTGATCCACAAAGGCTGACGATCAATCCTCTTGTAGTCGTAGGCAGTCTGGACAAAACAAAAATCCCAGCCACCCAAATGAACCAAATACTCTGTCTGAACACCAATATCCATGTTCGCAAGATGCATTCTTTTAAACCTCGGAAACACCAACTTTGGGGTTAAAGAATAGGCTTCACAATCAAAGGAAAATTCAAGAACCACTCCAAATGAATATGATGAAGCATACATCCGATCGCCCAAAACCACCGCCCTCCCTCGGAAAGGAAAATGCGAACAGGCCATGCGATGAGATTTCTCGACTTTGACATGAACCCATTTCTGAGTTCTTACATGAAAGGCAAGGAATTCATATCCTGGGCCGCATGTCAACGAGAGCAAAATATGGTGGTTGTAAACAGCATAACCGACTATCTCCACTCGTTTATCAGCAATAACAGAGGGAACAGGTGGAAGAAACTCCCAACTGTCATTCAGAGGATCGTACCGCTCAAACACTGATTCTGGGTCATTTGGCTCATGCGGAGAGGTTACAGGGATTGCAAGATGATATAACTTTTCATATGCAGAAATCACATTTCCAAGTGGCTTGGGTACTCTGGGGCCCTGGAAGGTAGAGAATGACTTGTTCTGTATGTCGAATACATATCCCTTCAAGGAGTCCGGTGTCATGACAGAGTGGGGAGGATTAGCTTGCATGCCCTCTCTGAACAACAAATACAACTTGGAGCCACCAAATAAGTCTGTAGCATCACAGAGACAACTGTCCGGGATGGAGTAAGTATTCTTGTTGAAGAAGGTAGTTACAGGACGCAGTGGGGCTTGATCTTTGCCATATTCATCTCCAATTGCTCCTCGTACTCCCCCCATAATTTGTCCAGATCCTTTTTGGATTTTAACTTCATATATCTCACCATGATATCGACTTGAATAAGATGTCACCAATACAAGCAGAGATTTATAATCACCCCCCTCCATGTACGCAAGCTGGAAACCACTAAGCACCTCGAGAGACTGAAACAAAGTGTTTAATTATTTAGCACAACCCATGCATAACTGATTGAAAGCCCAATCTAATGCGAAGAAAGACAGTAGTTTAATTCATCAAGCTAAATAAACATATTTTGCAATTATACCAAACCCTAAATTCAACGAGAGAGAGAGAGAGAGAGAGAGAGAGAGAGAGATTTGGTTCTTCCACTATGTTTGTAAGACTGACTCCAACCCAAGGTCCTAATTACCTGTTATGATACTTTTTTAAATGAGGAATCCTATTTACCTTACCCGATTTGCCTTTTTCATTTTTTTGCACCAAAATATTAAATCAATAAATAAATACATGTGAATTAAGAAAAATATCCGCACCAAAATCAGTATAAAATAAATAATATCTGCACCAAAATATTATATCAATAAATATATGCCTATTCCTAGTAGCCTAATGTCCACTGTGATGTTATTCAAGCTTTTGAGAAGAACAAGTAACAACAATAAGAAATTACAAAAAGATACAAATGTCATAGATTTCAAAACGCATAGACCTATCTCGATCTCTTTTGTATCTTCAACTCTATCCTCACTAGATACCAAAATCAAACCCTAATCAGTTATGTAGATAGACTCAGGCAATTCAAATTGCGTCCAATAAAATGCAAAAGCAATATTAATTAATGCCATATCAGAAGAAACAGATGGAACCAAAAGTAAAATAAAAGCAACAAAAGAAACACAGATCGTCGAGCCAAAAAAAAACAAAACATAGGTGCACAAGGGATTGAAGAGATAAGAGATGCTGATGTGCTTTGGATTGAGAGGAGAGAGAGGCGGACGTGAACGCGGAGGCGGTGGCGTTGGGCTTTACAGACGTTTGGATGTATTGGGCACTGAACTTGCTGCTTTGCTTCCTATGTAGGTTAATAATTGTCATGGTATTATAAACTATATTTTCTTATATAACCAATCGAGACATGTGATAATAATTTAATAAAATAATTCATTTAATATATAGATTGAAATTTAGATACATACCTGGATTTGAATATGACGATTTGATCCGTTTTGAGTGGTCTTTATGAATTTAGGAATTAGAGTTTTTCCTTTTTGGTGTTGAAATTCCTGAAATTGAAATAATAACAAAAATTGTCAAAGAATTGAGAAAACAAAAAAAAGAACTAAAGAAAAATTGATGGATGATGATGATTACTTACCAGAAAATAAGAGTTTAAGAAAAAGAAGAAGGTATTAAGTTTTTTTGTTTCATTTTGAGTTGAAGAAAAACTTTTTTTTTTAAAGGAGAAAGCCTCCTTTTTTTTTTTTTAAAGAACGATAGGAAAGGGAGGAGAAAGCGTTTTGGGGGATATATATTGCTGCTGATTAGTTAAAGTTTGATAATTCGCTTTTTTCCACGTGTTTCTTTTTTTTTTATTAGTATAATTATTTAAATTTTGTATAAAATAAGTACAAAGCCACCTATACACAACAAAAACTTTTCTGTCAATATGTAGCACACTACAATATACAATGTTAATATCATTTAATATAAAGAAAAACAATGTGGGGGGCACCTGTGCGGCGGTGGTGCCACTTGCACCATGGCAGGGCCACCCCGTCAGATCATGGCTTACCCGCGGTGGTTTAATCATATTCAACTAGCCTCTTACTCGCAACAAGCACTGTTACTAGTTTCTGGTGGTGGTGAGTCTTGGAGCAACTATGGAAATCTAATTGAAGATGTAGGGTTCTTTTGGTGCGGGTGGGTGTCACTGATGTTCTCTTTCAACCTCGACAGGATAAATGGAGCGTTACACTCTCTTGCTCAATTTGGTTTGCAAGAAGGCAGGTCTTTTTACTCATAAGAATCAACACCATTTTGGCTTTTATCTACTCTAGAGTCTGATAGCAGTGAGCAGTAGTTACTTGTATCTAGGGTAGGGGTGTGTGGTACTCTTTTTCCTTGGCCAGATTTTTCCCAGGGAAGCTAGGGACTGTTAGGTATAGAGGTTCGTGATACCATAAAGAGTTTTTCACATAAAAGGAAAGAACAAGAAAACTTGTCTATTTCTCATCCGGTATATTAGGGTTTTCTGAATTTACATTCATCTTGTATAACCTTCACAAAAGAATTGCATATGTACATATAACCTACATAAGAATAATCTAGAATAAAGAATATGCCTATATTCCTACTTCATCCATATCCAATACATGCTGGCTTTGTCCTGGATGAGTCTTGGGTGTCTTGAGTGATTCTTTGGTTGTGTGACTGTCCTTTTTCTTTGCTGCAGCCTTGGGTGTCTTTGAGTGTACGTATTTTCTCCTCTATTAAAATGATGGACAATCTCATTACCTTTTGCATCCCCTCACAGCATGTGGGTGCTTCCTAGTTCCCAAGCAAACACATATATTGTGGCTAGGTTTTTCTTTTGACTTCCATTGGGCTTCCAACAATGAAGGGACAACTACCTAAAACAAATGATTTTATCAATGCATTGATTGTATCCGGCGAATCAAAATTTGCTGCATGACCAGTGTCCTTGATTCTCTCTAATTTTGATTTGGGGCCTAAGTGCCTGGAAGCATAAACAAAGTTATATATAACAAGTTAGAAACCTAAGCGGAGAATGCTTTTCAAGAGAGAGAAAATTGAGAATATACTCAAGTTACCTGAGTTAGAATAGGAAGGTTTGAATCTGCTCTTTTGGCCACCAAGTGTTCAAGGAACCCACTTGAAAGCATCATACTTATACACAGATCGATTCACTAACAGCCGTAGATCATGTGGACTTTTTGGTAAAAGAATCTCCAAAGCATCTGAATTCACACTCAACAGCTCATCCTTCTGTTCATCAGTCCAAACTACCCCACTGCTCACAATCACAACCTTCTCCACCATCTCTGGATACATCTCAGCCATCCGATAAGCCACTAACCCGCCATAGCTAAGATTGTAAGTTTAATG